AAATAGAAAAAGAAATACACAGGAAAATCTTTAAAAAAAATTAAAAAAAGGAGAGTTTTAAGATGATCAAATTAAGGATGACAACAGGACAAAATGATTATGGGTTTCAATATCTTAATTCATCCCCGTATGCATTCCTATAACATATACTCATCTTTGTTTTTATACTCAATAGATATGAAATTTATATCTTATCCTCATCTCCTTAGAGTATTGAGTATATCCCTATCTACCTAGAAATTAATTCAATACTATTTTTTTGTTAAAAAATATAAAAAGAAAACAAGAATTTCAACCTAGAATAACAAAAATTACAAATTAAATTTCATTCGATATAAATTTAAAATAAAGTAAGAATTACATATAATATTAAATAAATTCTAAAAATTAAATTAAATTTCTAGAAATTTAAATCAGGCAAAAATATGAGATAGATAAGTATATATTTATTTAATAAATCAAGTATTACTATACTCATCTTTGTATTCAGTTAAATTAAGTATTTTTCATCAAAATGGGCAAATTCAAACATTTTTTACATGTATGAATTTACTTATCATTCTTATAAACAATATAGTACATTGCATTGATTTCAAGTGAAGCACAAATGAGTAAAACGAAGGAAGAAGCACTCACAAGCGATGAAAATATGTAGCGATAGAGTGTTTGCATAGGAGGTCAAACAATGCACGGTGGAAGTCGAAACAAAGAGGAGACTGCCAAGAGAAAAATAATATCTAAACAATCTCATAAATTAATATTACATTCTACATCGATTAAACTAACAATTAATATATAAAATATAATATTGAGTATATAAGCAACAACAAATTTAGCGAAATTGACGATGTTTACAAAATTGTCACTGCATTTCTCGCTATATCAGTTATGAAATGAAACAATTGTCGCTGAAAACTGATATAATTTGTAATTTTTACATCAATAATATGATGGATGGATATGTTTTTATGTATCAAACTTCCGCTAAATATACTGTGAACCCTACTTCTAATTAAGTGACTCATGGTTGGAGAAGTTTATAAATATATCTCGTGAATGTGGATCATTAATGAACCAAGTTATTCTAAACCGTATAATATATTTATAAAAAGAATAATGAACGGATCAGATTTATAATTAGATTTTAATAATAAAATTTTCTTAGTTAATTTTATTTTATGTTATGAAATGTCTATTTTGTCCCAAAAATACAAAATGTTTGCACACACATCATCTTCCTCTCCGTGGCTTCTACCTTGGTGAGGGACTCCATGGAGAGGGTGAAGGTTGCGCGTGCCCCAAAATTATTGCCATATCACGAGAGCCTTGAGTGTTTACAGGCATATGAGGTACAATTTTTGAAAAAATAGTGACATCTGAAATAAGTAAATAATATCTCTAAAAAAAATAAAAGAAATTAATATGTTTGATAATTTGGTGTACATTTAATATATATATATATATATATATATATTATATTTATCATTCTGGTCGATATTGCATCTTAGAATGTTTTGATTTATATTAAGAGATTAAAGAGAATTTTTACGTACCATCCTATTTTAGAAGGGTTTTGAAATTGTTGTTTGATTTTTTGTCACATTATCAATTTTTAGCCACATCATCATTTTGTATTTCTATATTTTAATTTGGTTATTGATTTATTTTATTAAAAAAATTATATATATATATATATATATATTATTTTTGGGAATCTTAACTTAAATATATACACTTACAATTGAAATTTCTAATTCATTATTCCCTCTTGTTATTTACGTTATTACTCGAATTGGTCTCATTATTGTTTTTTTTTCTATTGTGTTCTTGTGAGGTTTGGTGTGGTTTTGGAAATAATGTGTGGAAGGAAGACTCTTGATTTATCTTCATCCGGATCACCAAGGACATAATTGATCACAGATTGGGCTTGGTCACTAGTGAAGGCTCATCTACAAGGTCTGTTGGAACGTCGACTGCTACCACTCTGACATCCTCACTGCATTCGACGCCACCATGACCGATGACATGGACGTGATCTCCCTTAGCGTGGGGGGCATGGTGGTGCCCAACCACCTGGATGTCATCGCCGTGGGGGCCTTTGGAGCTAGTGAGGTTGGCGTCTTCATCTCCTCCTCCACTAGGAACGGCAGCCTTGATAGTTTGACAATGACAAATGTGGCACCTTAGGTGATGACCGTGTGTTTGGGAAGCATAGACAGAGATTTCCCGACGGATGTTATGCTGGGGAACAATAGGGTGATTGGCGACGTGAGTATGTACGGTGGATCGGGTCGGGACGGCTCTACCCGCTGGTTTATAAGGGTTTTAATGGTTACTCTTTCTCTCTCTACTTTGAAAGATTCATTGGATCCCAAGTCCGTGAAAGGGAAGATTGTAGTGTATGACAGGCATTAATTCAAGAGTTGAGAAATGGCAAGTGGTGAAGAAGGCGGGAGGAGTTGGCATGATTTTGACCAACAAACTCTTTGAGAGTGAAGGTTTGGTTACGAACTGCCACATCCTTCTTGCCACTTTGGTAGGCTCCATCGATGGTAACAAGATTTGTAGATACATCTCTCTAACCTCTTCAAATAATATAAAAAAAAAATTACATAAAAAATTAAATTTATTTAAAAGATTGAAATAATATTTAAATGATATGTACATACACATCAAATACAATACTAAAACCCCTCATTTATTGAAGATATAGTAGTAACCCTCTTATATTAATTAGGTGATTTTTTTAGCAACGTCTCCATATTTTACAATAACCACTACTAGAAAAGTGTTATTTTCCTGCGAATTTTTCTACAAAAAAATATTTGCATAATTTTTTTTGCGAATTTTCTTGCAATAATGATTTCACAAAATTTTTTTACGAATTTATTTGCGAAAAATAATTTACAGATATTTCTTACAAATTTTTTTGCGAAAAATAATTAACAAGAAATTTTTGCAAATTTTGCTACAATTTTAATGATCATAGAAATTTTTTTCCTTGGTAAAAATTTGCAAAAAAATATTGTAAGAATTTTATTTTGTTTTTTGCAAATTTTCTTGCAAAAATAAATTTGCAAGTAATGTTTATTAAATGGTAGAAAAATTTTGCAGGTAACTTTTCTTGCAGATTTTCCTGTCAATTTTAATCTGCAGGAAAAATAAAAAAAAATATTTAAATTTATAAGTTTAATATTTTAAAAAAACTTCAAGTCCACATCGATCGAAAATAAAACAATTAAAGAGTATATAAGTTGGGATAACACTTACCATATAAGATGATTTGTATAATTAAGTGTTAGGCTAATAATCTACAATCTTAGAATTTAAAAGATTATGTATCACAAATGTTTCGAATGAATTCATTGTGAGCACTTGAAAGTTGAAGAATTATTAGAATTTATAGTAATTTTTTTTAATTTTTTTTGTAAAAAATATTCCTACAGAATTTCTTGCGAAAAAAATTCATAGGACTTTCCTGCGAATTTTTTTTACATGAAATTTTGCAGGAAAATTTCTTGCGAATTTTAAAATTCGTAAAAATATATTATTCACGAAAATATTACCTGTAGATAAAATATCACTCATATATTTTAATAGTGACATGTCAGTTACTTATTTAATAAAATAATAATAAAATAAATAACTTTAAAAGATATGATTGGTTGACAGCACTGACAGTGTATGGATGATTAACTCTTTTTTTATCATTACATTTTTTCTTCTTTACCTAATTCTGGACTATGTAGGTGATAGTAAGATCACGAAGACTCTTACCTCAAGTCTCATTGATAACACAAAGTATTAATGCATATAATAATTAATTAATGTGTTATTTTTCAATAATTAATTAACGAGCGAGATAAATAATTGAGAGTGAAATTAAAAGGTTCGTAAGAGTCTTACCTCAAGTCGTGAATTGCAACAGATAGACACACTCGTACGTGAACGAATAAATCGTAAGAACAATATTATCAAACTTCATTCAATAATTTAATTGATGTAGTAGTTAGTTATTAAACTTTATAAAATCTTAAAATCTTAAATTTAAATTTGAATCGATTTCGGATGATATGATTTAGATAATATAATACTTTGATTGAGTCAATGACCGATCTCACACTACTAGATTTTAATTCTTTAGCAACATTTTCTTGTTTACATTTGTTAAAATGTTACTAAATATTAAATAAATAGGTTATTTTGCAACACTTTTTTAAAAAATGTCATTATAGATAGATTAACATCTTTATTTTAATATTATTTTTTCTAATTATTTTCAAAATCAAAGTCCCATATTGAGTAAAAAAATTTCACATAGGTTATTTTGCAATATTTTTTTTGAAAAATGTTACTATAATTGCTTCTAAAATCAAAGTCCCACATCAAGTAAAAAAAAAAAAATTTCTCTTATCTCTAATTATTATCCATAATTAAAGTCCCACATCGAATAGATTAATGACTCATAAAGAGTATATATAATCATATAGTTATACCTAAGATAAATGAAATTTGTTATTTTATATATAATTAGTGGTAATTAATTAAAAATGTCTTCCCCTAAAAAATAGCTAAGAATTCCTAGGAGTTTAAGAGACATAAAAATATAATAATTGATAGTAATATATCTAAATTAAAATTAATTATTATTTTATAAATTAATAAAATATTAGCAACATCATTAAAATGTTACAAAAATACTACTTTGCTAACATTTGAAAAATGTTACCTAATTATATAAAAATGTTATTAAAAGTCTTTAGCAACATGGACTATATACAACATTTGATAATATGTTGCTAAATCAAATTAGCAACATTTATACATAATTAAGTAACATTTTTAAAATGTTGCTAAAAGCTATTTATGTTGTAGTGTCATTATGATACAATACAACTACATACATATAAGTTAATTAAATAATTTTATTAAATTTTAAAATTAATGCACCAAATAATAAGACTTTTAATTAAAAGCAAATAAATTATATATAATTACCATAAGCGAATTCCTTTTACTAATCTTGTATTTACCCTTGCACAATATTATTTGAACAGAAGACAAAATGTTCAAGCCCAAAGTGCAAGAACAGACATTGAGGCAGAGCCAAGAGTCAATGCAATAAAGGACACCTTTTTCAACCACAAATTGGAGTTCATAAGCTTGTTATGAAAGAAATCAACTGCTATGAGGTCAACAAGAGCCATGTAAATTAGTATTCCTGAAGAAACTGAACCTAGTAACCCTTCCATGATCAAGGCATTAGGGTTACTATCATCATAACCAGTCATTGAGAATAATATCATCCCCAAAATTATCCCCATTGGTGTTGTCACTGAGAACATGAAACACATGTAAGCCGTCGTTCCAAAGCTAAATCCAGCCTGCAATTGTGATCATGATCACCACATAAAGATAGATATATACCAATCAACATCTTTTGCCACGAAACATAAATCAAATTAATGTAACAGTTGTGCAATTGGGTTTATGGATTAATTTAATAGAGCAGAAGCATAATCCAACATAAACAAAGTCTTTAATTCTTTATGCTATAAAATAGTTTGACAAATACGTTTATATTTTGAATTAGTATAGGAGTTACGAAAGCATGCATTATAAAGATTAAAGAAAGATTGGTTTGGAAGGAAAAATTAAGCAAAAAGCAACCTGAGCAATGCAGCCACCAAGTCCCAAGCCTTCAAAAATCTGATGAAAGGACAAAGCAGCAACAAGTGGGCGAATGGTGCAAACGTTCTGAGACATCCCCATAGTGACTCCTATGATAACAGAGTGAAAGATGATTCCAATCTCCAAAACCTGCGACACCAACTTCTGCTTGAATTTCATCAACTTTTCGACCCTCTCTTCTTCACCACCACCAACCACCTCCATGCTCCACGCGCCACCGCCACCTCCACCTCCCTCCTTCTCCTCCGTCTCCACTGGCGTGTAGTGCGCATGCTCCACGTGGGAGCTTGCAACAGTGTCCACAAGCAGCGCCATCAGAACCCCACCGAGTGTCACCTATGCCAATCGAACAGTAACACAAAAATTCAAATAATAAATCATACTCTTATATATTAATAATGATTATTGATTATAATTTATAACATTTTATTTCTAAAATTTTAAATAATAAAAAATAATATTAAAAATTAATCATTCTTATAAATATAAGATTTAAATTCAAAATTTTGAGATTTTAAAACTAAATACAACACCAGTTAAATCAAACAAATATTAATAATTTTTAAATATTTTTATTAAATAAAATATAGAAACAAGAACTATATTCACTTTATTAATAATATATAAAGAAAATATCTCTTTTTGGAGCTCACTTTTTCAAAGATGATTATATTCTTATATTTGTATTCTAATTTTTTCCACCAATATATTTAAAGATAAAATAGGAAAAGAATGCATATGTAAAATAATAATTACCAATTTATTTTTAAAAAAATATTTTTTTAACATAGACATGGAATACCTTCTTCATTACTCGTATAAATAAAGACGACTGATTTGATGTATGTTATTTGTTAGACAATTTTATTCTTATAATAACTTTCAACCACTTTCTGCCTTTATCTCTCTCACTACTTTTCATTTTATTTATATTTCCTTTTTTCTACATTTTGTAAATTATTGACTAATCAATCATCATCTATTTTATTTTATAAGCACGTAGTCTCTCTCCTTCACTAATATATTTAAAGGAAATTTCTTATTTTATTATGCACATTACAATTAAAAATTTTAACCTTTAAAAAATTATAAAATAATAACTAATAAAAGTCTTTTGATATAATTTTTTTAATCTATTAATTCATTATTTTTACTAATATGTGTATTCAAAGAAAGAAACGGAATGCCTTTTACCCACCCATTGCCTGTAATAGTCTTCAAATATTTAAAATAAACTTTATGAAACTTAATTTTACTAAACTTAAGAAAAACAAATATATAAAAGAGAAGTATTAGTAATGCATGTGTAGTTATAACATGCAATTGAAGACCACGGAAAATTAAACCGGATCCGAGATGAAAACTTGAAACATGTAATAATAAAGATAATTTTTTTTTGGTAAATAATAATAAAGATAATTTTGTGATATTTTTAATTATTTTATTATTATTTTTTATGTATATAAAATAATATAGCACGCAATTATTTTAAATCACGGAAAGTAAACAAATAAGGAATCTGAAAAAAATGAACTTTTTGAAATACTTAAAAAAAAAAAAAAAAAAAGAGTAACATGTTATGTATATTAACACATACTTTCCGATGCATTTTTTGTTAGATGAAAGTTTTCACTAGATTTAGGAATGAAATTCTCCAAATGAAAAACAAAACATACATAATTAGTAAAACATACATGAAATTCATCCGATACTCAATTTCATCGAATAAAAAAGTTAAGAGTATTGTTGTTTTCTGTCCCAAGTGAACATAGACGTGTAAAATTACCAGTCCGGCGAAGGGAAAGTCCTTCCAAGGATGCCGGGATGCCACCTGGCAGTCAGAAAGCGCCTCAAAGGCATCTGGCAACACGTGGACCAATGAGGTGGAGAGAATAACACCGGCGGCGAAGCACTTGATCACCAAGATAGCCATGTCATAAAGAGATTTCCCTTGAAAGTATCGTGCCAGCATGACGGGTGCAGACACACCCGTCATGCTGGTCACAAAGATCGTGAAGAGGGAAATCACTTTCAGGTGTGCCGCAGCCGTACCATTGCGGCACGCGGCGGCCTGCGCCATGTTGGTCACGCACTGTGCCATGAATCAATAGTTGGGATTGAGAGTGGTGGTTGGAAGGGCTTAAAGAGAGATGAAATGGTGAAATGATGCGCACTAGTTTGAGTTTTGGTTTTGTATCTTTTTTCAGCATAGTGAAGAGGTCCCATGCATGCACGTTTCCACGAAGGCTTTTTTGTATTGGTGGTTGCTTTTGTGTGCTGCGTCTGAAATCCAACAACGTTCTTTTGTGGAAGTGCCATGCATTTTTTGATAAACTGTTCGGTGTTCAATCTTTCGTCACGCATGTTAAAGGTTGTTTGAGAGTGACAAGGTTACGCGTAAAGACGGAGATGTCGAAAGTTGTAACTTGCTAGTGGCTAGTGTAGTAGTGTTGTCGTGATGTTTTTTAATTGAAAAAAATACTTTTACACCCACATTCGAGTGCATGTGTACGTGTACGTAAAGAGAAAAGGGAGATTGAAAGAACAGAAAGACTAAAAAATAAAAAAGTTATAAGATGATATGAACACAAAAGAAAATGCAAAATCAAAATTGGTTTGAATTCTGCTGTTGAGAAAGAGTATACCAATCATTCAAGATTCGTGGTCTTTAATTAGTGAATACTTTCTAATTCTTAAATGTTTTGGTGTTTGAATTAAAAAAAAATGATGCAATTACACCCTATAATAATATAATATTTATTATTAAAAATTATTTTTATTTATATGTACAATATATATATATATATATATATATTGATAAAAAATTGGCTAATTGATATATCAAAAGTGGCCAATATTTACATCAGCAAAAAGACACTGAAATTGTGAATGTTTGATGGACCCAAAATGTCAGAAATAATTTTGAAATTCTGTAGATTTAGGATATATATATATATGTATATATATATATATTATGAGAAGGAATTCATTTATTTTAAAATTAAATAAGTCTATCTAGATTTACTTCTTTTAATAACTCATGTTTCATATTAAATTTTAATGATCTAATTGTTGAATTTAAAATTTTTAATGCATAGATCAAATTTGCAAGTTTTTAAAAAAATTAAAAATTATTTGATATTTCGTTTCATTAATTTAAATTAATATATAAAATAATTTTATCATTATCTGTCAATTTGAATTAATGAAATCAAATATCAAATTATTTTCAATTTTTTTAAAAATTTGCAGACTTGATCTATGCATTAAAAAATTTAAATTTAACAGTTGGATAATTGACATTTGACGTAGAACATAAGTTATTAAACAGAATAAATTTAGGTAAACTTATTCCTGAAATAAATGGATTCTTTCTCATATTATATTACATCTGTAATAGCTCTTTTTGTATGTTAATATATAACATGCAACTTTATTGTAGTTATATTTGAAATTGCTTTGCTTTTAGTTTTTCTTCCATTTTAAGAAAATGGTTTTCAGTAATGATTATAAAATTTATGAAATAATATGTAGAATATAAAAATAAAACCACCCCCTAAAAAAAAGGTAAAATAAAATCACATTTATTGATGGCATATCGGAGAAGTCGAAACGAGATGTTAGGGGATTTAGATGTTTTTGTAACTCACCATTTTATTTATTTATTATTAAGTAGGACGTTCATATACATATATGCTAAGTAATCCATAAGAAATATATATGTCACATCAATTTCAAATAATTCATATAATTTTCATTATAATTGAAAGTTATTATCAAAAAGTTGTTTAAATCACAAATATTATCCCTCTCTCAAACTCTAATATTTTCTCTCATATATATTCACACAAATGTTAAGCAATCTATAAAAAATAATTATATATATAAGTAACTAATTCTAATTTTAAATAACACAGAATCTTATATGATACATAATAAAATAATATGTTATTGTTAAATAACATATAAGTATTCCTATTATAGATGCTCTTGCAATAGAAAAAGTTTAATAATGGGACTATATTAAAAAATAAAATAAAATGGTAAGAATCAAGTGTCGTTCTTGCAAAGAAATAGTAAGTGTAAGCAACTCATGAGAGTACTTATATATATATATATATATAAATAAAAATCACAAAGAAAGAATAGATATTTAATTTGATGAAGGATTATTCTTTTGAAAATGTGACGCGATTACTAACCGATTTGATGAGTCTAATCAGGATCGTTCAATTGAATGGTCTGTTGAAAAAAAAAATGTGATCCAATTGGAATTGATATTCATTTTAAATTTTGATATGGGATTAATTCAATTTAATTCTTTAATTCATCTATACAGGATTCACTAGTTTATTCATAATTTCTTGAGTAAATATTTTTTTTTCTTAATTAAGAGCTTTGTGATCAATTTCTTGGTTGAAATAAATTTAATGGGAACAAGGGTGAAAATCAACCATCTATAAGGAACAGCGAATGACTTCATGACCATTTTTAACATACGATTCAGTTTGCAGAGTATATTCATATATTGTTTTCTTTAACACATAAATCAAGACTCATTTAAAGTTTGTCCAATTTCTGTAATGTATTGAAATAGATAATACTTTTAGAATAGTGAATTTAAGTTTAACTCAATCCTACAAAAATGGCTTGTAAGGTGAGAATTACTTTTCACTTATATATTATTCAATTGTTTCTAGGATTGGCGAGACTTAAGTTTTTTTTTTCTCAATACACCCCCCTCATGCTTATGGTGCATGTATCAATAAATGGTAGGTGGCCCATTTTTAAGAATCTAGGATAACTCTGATACTATCTCAGAATAGTGGATTTAAGTCTAACTTAACCCTACAAAACCGGTTTGTAAGGTGAAGGTTACTTTCCACTTATATACTATTCAATTGCTTAATCTCTAGTTGATGTGGGACTTGAATTTTTCTCAACAAATACGAAGATGAAATTCAAAAGAAACTAAATTTTATAAATCCTAAATCAAAGTTTATTTAGAAAGTTGAGTAGATAGGATGAGAAAGAAAGAAAGAAAAAGTGTGGAGTTAAAAAAATGATAAAACGAATTTATTACCACTATTGCAAAATCATAGGAAATAAGAGCAGCTCCATTGAGTTGCTTAATTAAGTAATTACTTGGTGTTAAAGTTTGCAAAAATATCATCGGAATAAATGAGCTTTTCTAAAATTTGTGTAAAAGTTTTCTAAATAAGCACAACTAAGGTTGATTAACTATTAAAGAAATGAAAGTTAAATAAGAGCTTTAGTGAGAATAGAGATAAAATGAAACCATATTAAAAATAACTTAAGAACTGTTTCACATTTATTACTTGAATAAAAATTAGTTATTGTTCTAAATTTTATGGGACAATATAAAGCCTACTAAAAATAGTTAAGATTCTAAATTGAGTTTTTATAATCATATTGTTTGTAAGAAATATCACTAAATTTATTGATTATTCGTTAATCTTTGTAAAAAAAAAATTGATTAGTTATTTTTAATGAGATATTCATCTTATCCACGTATTCATATGACTAAATCCTTCTAAAACTAACGACTTGTTATTTAATACACTACAAAAAAATAGGTAATTACTGGCGGTTTTTTTTTTGCGGTTTCTAAAAACCGCCAAAAAATGTTACATTTGTGGTAAAGATGGTTAGCGCTACAAATTATTGACACTTTCTGGCGGTTTTAAACTGCAAGAATGATAATCATTACAAGTGTTGACAGTTTCTGGCGGTTTTGAACCGCGCCAGAACGTTAAATAATTTTTTTATTAAAATTAAACTTAAAAAAAACATTTTTAAAATGAAGTCCGAAAATCTAACGATAAGTACGCAGGGGTATTTTGGGAAAAGATGAAAATAGAGGCAAACGTTTGGCGGTTTCAAACGTTTGGCGGTTTCAGACTGCCACAATATTTAAGCACCTCATTTTAAACGTTGCCAACTTTTAGACATGTGACCAGCTCAATCAAAATATTTTTTTATTAAAAGAATAAAATAAATTTTTTTTTTACAATTTTAGTTCAAAATAATCAACCTAAACGATGGTTGTGAAAATTCAAGCTCCTTCGTTTGCTCTTTCGTCTCTATCATTACTGTTCGTGAGGAGCTTCTCTTTTCTACTCGATTAATCCATTCATGGTGAGTTTTCGATCATCCAAGTGTATTAAATCTGTTCTGTTTTCTTCAATTCATACTCGCAATTTGCCATTCTCTAATGAGAATCAAAACCTAGGTTATGAAACCTGCACGCGGGAAATGTATGCATTCAATTGATCTTAGGGTAGGATTTCATATACAATTTGTTTCTGTCTAAGTCAATTTGTTTCTGTCTAAACTATCATTTCCTATTCTCCTGAATTTTGCTGATGGTTGTGTTGTCCCTGTAGCTTCGAATCGGACAGCGAAATTTGCTAGGAGAGTTTCAATTTCAAATCCTGTCGGGGATTCATTTGGTATTGCACTCGCTTTTTCTCTCCGCACTCGCTTTCTTTTTTTCTCTCTCCTAGGGTTTGCTCCGCCATTAACCCACTGTTCACCGCAAAGTCAAGCTCAATTTACATGGGTGAGTTTCTCCCTTCTGTTTCGCTCTTTGGATTCCGCAAAACGCTAAGAAAATGAACAAGATTCCTTTTCTTTCTCGTTTGTGCTTGTTATTGTCACGTGTCGATTTTGTGTGTTTGGCGTTCTGTTGGTTGTTTTGATCATTTACGTTTGTGTGGATCGTTATGGAGCAGAGTTAACCATTGTTTTGACTTTGATGAGTTTGATCATTTGTCTTGATGAGTTAACCATTGTTTTGATCATTTTCCAATTATTGAAACATAATTAGGTATAAAATTGAATAATATTTGATGCTTGTTTTCCATCATTACTCAACGCGGAGGTCCTTGTTTGGTGATAATTTAACTCTGGAAGTTGTTTATTTATTTTTTACTTAAACATTTAAACTTTTGGACCCAATTTTTGCTCACGCTGGACTAGTGTTTGCCGCTGATTTTCTATCTTTTTTACCATTCTTGTTATTATAGGCTCTAATTAGTTGGGCAGAACATGTCCAATCACCAAGGGGGTGATACTGAATATATGGCGGATGAATGTGAAATGGAAGATGTAGAAGATGGCATGGACGATGAATCTATTAATAGAGAACGGGGTGGTGTAGAGTCTGACACAGATGAATATGATAACTCGGTTTGTATAGTGCTGTTTTGCAGTTTTCAGTTTCTGCTATTTTATGAATATGTTGTTGATGAATATGTTTCGTATTGTGGTTAATCATTAGCAATTAGTGGTGGTGTCAAATTACGTTCCTCATACTTGAATGATTCATCAAGCAAATATAAACTATGTATAAGGTTATCTTTAGATTTCTAGGACTAATATTGTAGTGTTGGTACAGAGTGGTAAGGTAGTTACAGGCTTACAGCTGCTGAGGCTAGAAGAGGACAAGACATCCAGGGAATTCCTTGGAATAGCCTTGGCATCACTATAGAAAGATATCGAAAAACTAGGCTTGAGCAATACAGAAATTATGAACATATCCCTGGTTCAGGGGACAAGGCAGGGAAGGTAACAATCAACATGTGTCAAGACTCTTTGATATTTTATAGAACTTTTTTCAGTCATGTTATTTTTCAGAAGCATGACAGAATAACACCATGTTGACCTGTCAATTATTATCTATAACATACAGGATTGTAAGGTTTTATATCAATGAGGAGGCAAGGTCTATTGGGATATGTTGCAAATAAATTTGAATTGAACATATTAATTATTAATCACCTTTTACACACAATTGGTTGGTTGAGAAATACTTTTTTTTTGTATCTAAAAAGAATTCTATTTACTGTGATTTATTCCGATCAGAATTTCATATGGCATGTATATGCATAGCCTGGTCCCCTAAAAAATCTGTATAAGATTGCTTTGATATAAACCTTTGCTCATGACTGTTAAATGTTGATGTATGAATGATTAAGCGTTAAAATTTTGTTTTGCTTCATTCTTAAGTGGTTAGGGCTTATGTTTAGCTTATCCTGTCAATGGTTAAACATTAGTTTATTTCTCCCAAGCAGATAAACAATAAGGTATTGCTTTTACTATGTGGTTAAGATTTGTTGTCTAATGTGGCGTTTGAAGATTGCTGCCAAATGTAATTTTATATAGGGCACTGTTTATGGTGACAGCCAGACCTCCAAATTGCAGACCAAAGAACTTGAATAGAGAGAAACATAAGTAGCATCTCAACTTTAGGATTATGAAAGAAAAAAAAAAGAAGAAAAGTTTACCTTGCATCATTGAATTAAAACATTATCAGCCAATACAGATGAAAATAAGTTGAAATTCAATTCTAAACACGCAGATGAAAGAAAGTAGCTAGGACTAGGAAACATATATGTTTCAGTTGCTTTTTTATACCTATATTATGTAATAAAATTCCCAAAACAATAACAAATATCAATTTAATTACAAACAACCCTTCCGAAGCAAAACTTGTGTTATACATCAACTTAGTTTTAGTATATAGTTTACCTTAAACAATCATAGTTGTGAAGACAGACTTAGATGAATAGCTAAATTCTCTTGATAAAAATTAATTATCACAAAATTGATAAATATTTTATCCCAACAATATAATTAAAAATAACTTAAAATACCGGAATCACCCAAAAAAAAATAAATGAATTATATAGTACTAATTATGCTCCACAAAGGTTCCCTGAAAATGAATTGACTGATAGGGATGATTGAATCCAACTGTTAAATTTTGCATTTTAGAAAAGTAAAATTACCATGATTTCAACTAGGCATATTTGGTATGTATCAGGTACAGGTAAATGTTATTAGTTATGCCTGGACACTACTTTTTTTTCCATAAAAAAGTTGGTATGTAAAAACTCCAATTATAGTTGTAGTTTGAGATATAGCCAGGTTTGCCTTATGTAGCAAGCTAGAACTTCCCCCCTCAAACAGTGATAATATACATTCTTTTTAGAACACACGTATCTTTTATCAGAAACCATCTTGTTTAAATCACTATTATGAAAATTCTCTTTTCGAGCATTTAATACAGTTGCAGAACTTAAACCCGAAATCGTTGATTAATTAAGCTGAAACATTAGTCTATGCAAATTTTTATTTGTTTAATTTTTAGTAAACTGCTTCTAAAATTGAAGAAACAAATGAAAATGACTTTAAGAACTTATTCATGTTTCTTTCGGGAGAAGATGTCAACAGAAATGAGTCAAAGTGACAACTCTAATGAAATTTCAACTAATGATAGTCTTAGTAAAGTGTTGGGAAAGGATCATGCTGGACATGTACGTTGCTTGGGATTAGGAGGTCTACATAGTGTGGCATTTCAATCATCCACAAGATTTAGTGGTGTAGGGTGCAGTTCTTCAAATTTTGATTCCACTAAAAATTTTCAATTGAAAAAGGAAGTAATTAGTTTGAAGGGTGAATTGGCAACTTCTCAAGAAAATGTCAAGATATTAAAAAATGTCATGCTTGCTTACATACAAATGAAGGAAGGACATATTCCTCCTGAGTTAGAGGCTATGTTTGGTAGTGGTAGTAATAATGTAGCGGTAAGTGTTTTATATTTTGCACTAAATTAAATTATATTAATACTTAATTGAAGTTTAATATTTTATGCATATTTTATTAATAAGGATAACATTAAACAATTTGTATTTTATAGGATGAAGGGAGTGGACATGACATGCCAACACCACAAGGAGGATCTTCATTAGATAGTAATGTTCATGGAGTTTGACATTATTTTTGTTTTTTTTTTGACATGATGAACTCATGAATTTGAACCTATGTTTTATATTTGAAGCAAGATTAATTTTGGGACAATTTACATATTTTACTTTTGAGCATTGATCATGAATTTGATTTTGAATTACTTAATATGATGGATATGTTTTAAAATTGATGGATGTTAATGTCTTAATAATAAAAAATATGTCATGCTAGATCTATGGCTAGATGTTGACTTGATTTTTTTTTATAATGTTAAAATTTGTTAATTTAATGTATCTTTATGTAATTATATTTGAACAAGAAACATACAAAACACATAAATATTATTATAATTATATATATAATTTATTAAAATAAGTGATCCTAGAATTTGACAAGTAAAATTTTTATTTATAAGTTACTTGAATTAAATAACAATATAATATAGTCATTATTAATTTTTAATGATTAATATGGTTAGTGATAATTTTAAATAATAATTTGATAAATGTCTAAAATATACAGAATATTATTTGTCAATTTATAATAAAAATGCGCTTTTAAAATAATTCCAAATATATTTTTAAAAAAATTTAAATAATAATTTGATAAATGACTAAAATATACATAATATTATTTTTCAATTTATAATAAAAATGCGCTTTTAAAATAATTTCAAATATATTTTAAAAATAAAAAATTATCGTAAAATAGAGTGTATTTTTGATAGTTTAAAATTGTTAGAAAATGCGAGAAATGACAATCTAAAACCACCAGAAAATGTAAACAACTAAAAATAATAATAATTTTGTGGAGGTTCAGAAATCTTGAATTGGTAGAATTAAAATGAATTTTGTGGCGGTTTAGAACCGCCAGAAAATAATGAACAAGTCAACAAGAGCTGCAATTTTGTGGCGGTTTTGGACCGCCAGAAAATGTCAAACAAGTCAAACCAAAATGCATTTTGTGGCGGTTTCAAACCGCCAGAAAGAGATTGAATTTTCTGGCGCACAAAACCAGCGTTTACAAAATATCCGCCACAAACGGTTTTTGGCGACCGTAGTTTTAACCCCCAGAAATAACCAAAATAACCGCCACAAATCACACATTTTTTTGTAGTGAGTCTTCGCTATTTAATTAAAAATATTCGAGTCATTGAGTTATTGGGTTAGTAATTATTCTGCTTGAACCTGTATCTTTGTTACAGACATTACTCTTCATATTATGCATATGACTAACATTAAGCAAGCAGGTGTAAAAAAATAATAATAATAATTAAGCAAACCTTTGTATCACTTGTTCAATAAAGTCTAAAGCCTGCTTGACTCACCAATAATTGCATAAAACAACTCCAATTGAACCTAAATTTTTCCTTTAAAAATAAAATCAGTTGACCAAAAACATTGAGCAGCAAAAACATCACAGTCTACTACTAATTACAAGCTAACTAATAAAGGGTAATAAGGTAGCCAAAGATACCCAAAGAAATAGGTTGAAATATGTTTTTAATTCCGATAAAATAATAAATTTGAATTTGATCTTTGAAATTATTTTTTGTTTTTTATTTATAAAATTTTAAATTATTATTTTTAATCTTAATTATTGTTTAATCTTATTAAAAAGTGAAAAAAACTATTTTTTTTATAACTATGAGTGATATTATTGTGGTTTTGACTGAGCAAATAGAGTGACATGGTCACACCTCTGACCAGCTTTTTCTCTCACTATAATTATTAAGGCAGTGCATTTAATGTTAACCAGCTTTTGTCCCATCTTTCATCTCCACGCATTGCATTGCATCCACACTTCTATAGAGAAAATCTTCATTTTTTTTAATGATTTAATAAATATAATTATGTGTGTTTGTTTTATTGGTTGACCACAATTTTGAAGACAATTAAACGAATAAATATGAAAAAAAAAAAAAGCTTCTAAATAAAAGTTTGTTTATATAAATTAAAATCGAAACACACTTGGTATGATTAAAAAAAGAGAAGAATTATTTGTTTAAAATGAACTTAGGATGATTAAGTATATATAGTATCTGTTTTTATTAGATATGTGACTCATTGATTCACATGAATAAGGTTCTAATTTTCCTTATCTTAGAGTCAATGTAAATTACGGAAGAAGAAGAACTAGTTGTAAGCATCTTTGGGAAACAACACAGTACATTATCCATCTTTGAATTAGCACTCAACAATGATCCTACGATCGAGAAGTCTAAAAAAAAAGTATTAATACTACAAAGCTACTCTCATTAATATTTTTCTAAAATTCTTTGAAAAATGAGTTAACGAAACTTAAAGTTTCTTTTCTGAATCTTAAGTTTCAATATTTATCTTTTATATTCAAATTAAAACTTTACATTTAGAACTATTTAAAACACTTAAAGACTCACAATTTTTTTAACTTCTAAAATCTCTCACACTACACCTTAAAAATACAATATATAATTATTATTAAAAAATAATAATTAACGAAAACTTACGGTAAACTCACATTTCCTCTCTATTACGCGCTACTTTTCAGAGAATAAAAGTTTTCTCATATGTTTGTTTTACCGGAAAAACAGGAAGAAGTAATGGAAAAAAGAGACAGAAAATATGTTGAACTTACACTTTATTTAACTGACCAAATGTATTAAGATGAAAAAAGTTTAAGAATATGTTTGCATGGGAATTTTAATGGAGTAATTCATTTATTTGAAAATTTTCAAATTCTTTGAGGTGAAATACTTTGTTTGGATAGAGAATTTACAAAGAATTTAAAATCCAAGCATTTGTAAAATTTTTTGAAATAGTAGAATTTCAAATTCTCCCAAAAAGATAAGAATTTGAAATTCCTCATATTTTTCTCCTTATTTCACTTATATATTTTATCTTATATCTTCATATTTTTAATTATTGAATATTTAAAAATAATTTAAAAATTATTAAATATTATCTAATATTAATTTTTAAAATTATTAAATATTTAAAAATTGGTTAATATTTTTTTATAAAATTTTATTTAAAAATCTTAACATATAAATATATTTTTAAAATTAATTTTATCATGATAGAATCAAATTATCATATCTAAATTAACAATTTAAATTTTAAAAAAATTAAATTGACTTATTCAAACAAAATATTTTAAGAATGATAGAAATTGAAATCAAAGTAATTCAAATACCAAGAATTTCAAATTCCTTGAATTTATAAAATTTCTCATCCAACCACACCATAAAAGGAAAAGGAAGAGAAGAAAAGATAAATAAAGAATAAAAACTTTTAACTTTAATATTAAGGAAAATATGAAAATAGAGAAAAAAATTTTGAGTATGTGCTATAAAGACATTTAATTCCTAGTAAATTAGTTATATAATCTCCGTCCTTGTATAACTAATTTTCAACTTGGTTATAAGGTTAAATACATAGAACCTTTTTAACTAATTTAATTTATAATTTAAAGAAAATTAGTTATCTTAATAAATAACAGTAAATTTGTTCCCAAAGTCAATTATTTTTTATAAATTATTCTTTAAAAATAATCATCCTTACTTCCTGTTAAGACGTAAGTAAAGTCTCACATCGTTCAAATAAGAGGATAGACATGATTTATATACACACAGTTGTCTCTATTAATAGAGAGACTTTTTCAGTAATGTCTAAAAGTAAAATCATGAAGACTTGAACCCAAAGCAAACAATATCTTACCAATGTAAAAACATGTGTACTTGCTGAAAGAACTTGACATCACTCGCTACCTTCTTCAACTCTGTAAGCACTGTGTCCTGAAGAGGATCACCCTTCTGCTTCTGGCTATGCCCATTCATGCCTTCCTTGTTCTTCCAATTCATCTAAATCACTTTTTTTCTCAATACACTTGTGGAGTACGAAGGACAGTAGCCAATATATAGTACCATTTTTTTTTTCAAATTTTCGTACACAGTGGAAATTACTTTTTTTATTTTTAATAAAGTCAAGTATACTAATTATTGTTAGTGATAAATTAGAGAGAGTTCATCAAATTTGAATTATAATTGTTTAATTTAATTTTAGCAATAAATTAATTATTTAAAAAAATTATAATTATTTAAAAAAATATTAAATTTAGTGAAAATAAAATAAAATAATAAATTATGAAGATTTAAATTTATAAAAAGAATAATCAAAAATTGATCATTAACTTTTTTTATGTAAATTATCTTAAATTTTTATTGATGTTTAAATTATACAATTAATTTGATAATTTTTAATTATATTTAAACTCTAATTCTTTGGATAAGAATTTTAGTTTGTTTAAGAAAAATTACAATCTCTTAATAATTTTTGTTAAACAACTTACATTAAGGTCAGGGATAAAAAATCGACTGATAAAATTTATCTTATTTCTATTAATAAATGATCAATATTTTATTTAGGTTGTAATTATAAAAGAGTTTCTCAACTTCGATTAAAATTATAAAATCAAATAGAAGTTGATCACGCTACAATAACAAGCATTAAGCAAAAAAAGTAAAAATAAAAAAAATTGAATAAATACTTTATTAAATGAAAAATACAGAGAATTTACATAGGTTTGGTAGCTATACCTCAATCTTCAACAATAAAAAATTTAACAATTCAGAACAAATGATTACATAAAAGAAGAGAAATACATGTAATTACAATAACACTCTTATAAAAATTCTTTTTAATCGCTTTAAAATTATATTCAGAAAAGTATTGATATAAAAACCTCCTAGAAACTCTATTTTATAACATTTTATAATGGACTTTTAGGTTATGTATGCTGGGTTAGAGTGTCCATGCAATTCCTCTTAAATGAGCTTGGGCAATCTTTTACGAACATTTTATGTTCTATTAAATTATTTTAAAAAATATTAATTTTTTTTATAATTTTAATTTATTATATTATTTTGTTAAGTTAAAAATGTGATGTTTTTTTATCTTAGTATATTTAATTTTATTTATAAACAATTATGTTATTCAATTTTTATTATTTTATATATTATGACATGCAAGTGTCACAAATTACATGAATTAAAAAAAAATGCAAGCTATACATTCTAAAAAGGCCTAAAAAAATCAATTAAAACATATTTTGCTATATATTTTAATATAATAAATTATTTTTATTTAATTATTTAAATTGAATCTGAGCTTTTTAAGATTGAAATTAACTACTGTATAATACATAGACATATTTATCGTATATAATTAAAATTTATAATAAATTATACATATAAATAATTATTATATTTGAATATATAAATTATATTTAAAAATAGTATATATAAATATTTTTAAGTATATAAATTATATTTTAAGATTTATAATAAATAAATAATTTAATTTATAAACTATATTATATTTTAAACAAATATTTTTTACTGTATAAATTATATTTTATAGTCAAAAATATTTTTTTAAAAATCTATACAAATCCGCTGTTCAAAAAAAAATCAAATTATACAAGGGTTGATTAAGAAAAATGTACAAAAAAACAACACACCTTTCTATTTCATGATTTTTAAAATTATTTATCCATTTTTGAAAAAAAATGAAACAATACAGTATAATTTTAAAAAATATTTTTAAAATATAAAAACCAAATCATAATCAAATGCTTTTAAAATATTTGAGCTCAATGTTTTATTGTCATCTGACATGCAAGACGAAAGGAACTGTTTGAATTCCAGCTGGTCACCAACGTTGCGCAAGTGACAGATTTAAACTTATTCTAATTGTTTATATTCTACCCGAAAATTTAACTAAGTTATTTATTTAAAATAAAAAAAATTAATTTGATTAAAACTTAGAAATACATGGAACAGACTAAATCAATTCAATTTAATATAATATAATAAATAAATTTTAGAATAAAAAATATATAACTATTAAATTAAAATAATTTTGATAATATATTTTAAATTAAAAATTATTATTATAAATATAATATCATGTTAAACACAATATTTTAATTATAAAAAATTTATTATTATCATACATTTATTTAAAAATTACTATAAATAAAAATTTAAAGATTTCATTGATCTAAGCATTAAACATGCATAAGCATAAACATAAATGGTAACATGCAAGGAGATCCAAAAAACAGTTGAATTTGGAGGACTTGGCTGTGACTAACATGACAATTTTCTCTTTGATTTTTATGGGAAGGAGACTTGGGTGGATATCCTCTATGCAGAAGTATGGGAAGGAAATATGGTAAAAGATGAATAGGTTTGTGAATGAAATTGTCCTTGTTAAAGGACTCTTGGTTAAAGATTGAGAATGTATTGTTGAACATGTGTTCCGTGAAGAAAATTAATATGTGAACTTTTTATCTAAGATTGGTTCTTCAACTTAACTAGAAGTGTTTTGTTTTAGGAATAGTTTGGTAATAGATGTTGGAGGGCTGCTGGGTTCTCTAAAGAAAACTAGTTCTATTTTTTATTGTTTTTTTTTTCTTTTTTTCTTATATCGGTTGTTTGAATAAGATAAACACAAACAAACTTAAGATTTATATTAAACTAAGTCACAATACACCAACTGAGTATTTGTTTCACACCGATAACATAGTTTTAACTATTTTTCAACATGTTCATAACTCCATATAACTGAAAATCACTATTCTAAAACTTAAACATCAACATCAGTAACTAATTATCATACATAATTTCTAATCCATTGTCTCTGACACTAAGGTGTGACACCCAAAACAAAGGTCTTCAGTACTATTAAAGTTCTACAACCACACCTGCAAAGAGTGTATAAAAAAAGATTACAAGAAATTACTATAACATATGTTAACTCTGAATTAAATTTGAAAATTAAGTCTAAAAGAAACAAGACCAAATCAAAGGCTAGAATTTAGTTTTTACTTTTTATGATAAAAGAGAGCAAATTTTGCCCAAAGTAATATGAAAATAAGATAATCACATTAAAATAAGAGTAAAAAAAATATACATAACTCTGAATATATATTTCTAATGAAAAAATCCTCACCTTAACTTAAAAGCAGTAGAAGATCTTAATCACTGTCATTATTCCAGCCACCATATTCAGATTCACAACCATTTTCATAGCCATCATAATCAGACTCACCACTATCATAAAACTCACCACTATCATAAGACTCACCACTATGTTCACTCTTCTTACAGTTATCTTCACCACTATCATAAGACTCACCACTATCATAATCAGACTCACCACTATGTTCACTCTTCTTCCTGCTATCTTCACCACTTTGACCATTATCAATCACACTGCCCCTAGAGTTTTCATAACCACTGACATAGCCATCCCCATATCCATGTCCATAGCCCTCTACATAGCCATTGTTATATCCCTGCTCATAGCTTTTTTCTGGCTCTTTCTGTTTTTTCACCTTCCCATTATGGTTGCCTACCTTGTTCTCTCTTTTATTCCCTTCATGAACATGGTTCTTACCCTTGTGCTTCTCATGGCTCTGATCCTTGTAAGCCTCATGATTCTTATCCTCCAGCTTCTCATGCCTCTTAAAGCTAGACCCTCCCACACGCTTGTAATCATCCCACCATGGACATGCCATACTGTTTCAGAGAATTTGATTGAGTTTATCAATAATTCCAAGGAAAACAATGGCAGAGAAGTGAATATTAGCTTAGAAAGAAGCAATATTGTTATGATTTAATAGATATAGATCATGGTAGTAAGTATCGGATGTATCCGATTCGTATCTTACGATACGATTCCGAGGCTCCGCGATTCGAATCGCAAGTCGTCTCGTTTTTTTATCAAGAATCGCATGTGAATCGTGCGTATCGTGGGAAAAAAATCGTGATTCTTGACGATTTCAAAACAGTGGGTGGCGCCTCGAAACCAGGTCGGATCACGCGAGACCCAATTCTGGAAACCCTAAAAAAAGTATTTTTTAGAAAAGAAAAAAAAGCAAAAAAGAGAGGGAAAGTGCCTATCTGTCTTCTTCTCCTACGAATCTCCGTCGATTTGTCTTCTTCGGCAGGTCTCCGTCGATCTGTCTTCTCTAACAGCGGCTCTGTCTTCAGCGACGGTGGTTATATCTTCTCCGGCAACTGCAGACCTATTTTCTTCTAAGAGGGAAGACAGGTCACGGCTTAAGTCTCACCATTAGAAGGGTTAGGATAAATAAGTAGGGTTGAAAAAGTTGAGTCTAAATGGGCCAAATTTTATTTTATTTTTTGATTTAGTTAAGAGACCTTTTAATTTATTATTTTTTTTTTTAGAAAGTAACTTTTATTTATTATTAATTATTATTATTATAATTCAAATAATATTTTAAGTAATAAAAAATTTAATATAACACCTTAAATATTTTGTTTTCTTTATTTTTTTATTTTGTTTATCTACTATAAATTTTTATTATTGAAAATATTTAATGTATAAATTAACTTATGTTTCTCTTTTTATATGTATATTTTTAATTATATGTATTATAAATTATTTTATATATATATATTAGAATAGCATTATCCCGCTATCCACTATCCCACTTTTGGAGTCGGCCATTCTGATCTGCTTTCTGGGATTAATAACTATGAGAGAAACACACTTCGTTAGGATATATTAATTATGTTTTTATTGATTATGAATCTTATCACTATATATTCAATTTACAATTCAAAATATAAACTTTTCAATACAATATTTATATCCGGATTATAGATAATAAGGAGTAGGACACACGTTGCAAAATCATAAATGTTACGTGTTCATAACAACAAAAGTTGTCATTTCAGGTCACAATTTGATTTTTCTTGCATCAGTTGTGTTCCACTCCTCTCGCGTGATAATATGTTCAGAAACGTACATTTTGTTTGGGGCAGAAAAAAGTGAAAAGAAGAAGAAAAAAAATTGTAGTAGGTATATTGTATATATGAAAATAAGAGTAAAAGATTTGTATGTTCCATACTTATATTCATTTTCTCTTACATGAGAAAAAAGCTCCATAAAAGATTAAATTTATACTGTACGTACTACCTATTATTATAACATATATCTTATTTTAGTGTACTGTGCTGTTTTATAAAATTAAAAAATAAAAAATAAAAGCAACCCTGTAGAACTGATTGCACCGAGCAAAACAAAATTGAATATCACGGTGACGTAAAAAAGATACTGCAAATCAAAATCTTTCTACTCAGTTCTTTTATGACCTGATAAGCATTGAGTACCTGCATGAGCTCCACTGGTCAAAACACAAATTCTGAATTCTTTTGTCATCCACGATAAAACTAAACTGAAACTCCATTCATAAATTAAAACTATTGGTTGAAGAATGATTAAGCATTAAACTAGACAAACTTTAAATTTTAAACAAACAACCATGTAAACCAAGTACAATGGTCCGAATTAAATGGTTCATAACTCCATAACTAGCATCTAGCATTAATAATTAATAACAAGTTAGCATCCTTTACTATTTCAAATTGAAAAAGAAGATGCAATGCTATATAATATCCACAGTGAGATTTTAAGATAAAAGAAAGTAAATCTTGTCCATAGTAAAAGCAAACCCATATTCACTGTTTTCCTGCTG